GTGTATGTGTGTGTATGTATGTGTTGGTGTATGAGTGTGTGTGTGTGTGTGTGTGTGTGTGTTTGTGTGTGTGTGTGTGTGTTTGTGTGTTTGTGTGTGTATGTCTGTATGTATGTGTTGTGTGTGTGTTTGTGTGTTTGTGTGTGTATGTATGTATGTATGTGTGTGTGTGTATGTGTGTATGTGTGTGTGTGTTTGTGTGTATGTATGTGTGTGTATGTGTGTGTATGTGTGGGTATGTGTGCGTGAGTGTGTGTGTGTGTGTGTGTGTGTGTGTGTGTGAGTGTTTGTGTGTGTGTTTGTGTATGAGTGTGTGTGTGTGTGTGTGTGAGTGTGATAGTTTATCTGTGTTAGGGTTTTCTCGTTTTCTCTTTTTCTCTCTCTATTTCTCTCGGTTTTTTTCTCTCTCTCTCTCTGTCTTTCTCCGTCCATCTGTCTGTCTGTCTGTCTGTCTGTCTGTCTGTCTGTCTGACTGCCTGCTGTGCCTCTCTCTCTCTCTCTCTCTCTCTCTCTCCCTTTCTCTCTCTGTGTCTCTCTGTCTGTCTGTCTATTTGTCTGTGTGTTTGTCCGTGGGTCTGTCTGTGTGTTTGTCGATGTGTGTCTGTTTTTGAGTCTCTCTCCTCTCGCTCCCATCTCTCTCTTTTCCTCGTTCTCTTTTTTCTGTCTCTCTTTCTTTGTGAATGGGCGTAAAAATGCTATATTAAATCTTGACGATGTGTTGTACCAGCTTGGGGTAACTGTGTTTTTGTACACTAAGATCTACGTTCCTTAGAGGATAATATTTGATAAAAAGAAGGACAGATAAAAAGCTTACGCCCACTAAAGTTCTGCTTTTGGTTATCATTGCCTAGACACGACGGGACTAAAATAAGCGATACTAATGCTATTAATTCAGATTTTATTTATTGTAGTAAGAGTTTTTACGGCACTTGCAACACAAATTAGCTAATAAAAATACAGAAGATTAGAGGTGTTGCAACAGAATAACAAAAGCAAAAAAGAAATAGGAGAGATACGGACGATAGATGTTTGATAGGAAAGAAGGTGCAAACCACACCAGAGCACCCGCCAAGCACCCATAGTTATTCATAGTGTGGTTTTATCAGTATCTCAGGAAGTATTAATTGTGAGGCAAGGCGGTGAAATCAGGCACTCGTCAATTTAATAAAACCGAAGAAATTCAAACTTTCCGCATGTTTGGCAAATTTTTAAAATTTGATTTTTGTTTTGGTTTGGGATTAACACCTTCTAAGTCTAATTAAAAAGATATCGCTGCAGGGATTTTTTCCACAAAAACCATGATCAAAGGCACACAAAACGTAAATTTATAGTTTTTGAGAACACTACAGCTATGGAAGTCACCAAACCTTAGTGACCATTTTATAGCAACGTTTACCTCTAACACCAGACAACCCCTCACCCCCGCCCTTTTCAATCGGAAATATCTAGACTTCCACGCAACACAGATGGGTATTTTCTTCATCAAATGCAAGGAAAAATGAACAGTCTTTAAGATTAAACTGTACACGTCAGGGGAGGTAAGTTTGGATACAACAAGTTGTTCATTTGAAAGATGGACTTCTCACAGAACACACCAATTTATTCTATGCTTGACACTTAAATTTTGGGCCCCGTCCCCCCTTAAAAAAAACCCAACAAAAAAACACCCAACCAAACAAATAATCAAACAGCTCATTAATTGAAAGATGAACTTTTGACGGAATACAACAATTTATCCTAGGCTTGACACCTAAATTTTGAGTCCATCCTTAAGAAAGCCTCCCTCCTCCCCCCTCAAAGAATGTCTTCTTACATTACTCACGCACTCACTCACTCACTCACTCACTCACTCACTCACTCACTCACTCACTCACTCACTCACTCACTCACTCACTCACTCTCTCTCTCCCTATACCATCAGGTACATAAGACAGACAGCAGTCGACGCCACACTTGCCTGTCCCTGGCCACTTTCTCCAATTTGGACACATCCAGGCCCTGGGTAATTGACTCAACTCTTACTGTGCCTCTATAGCTTCCAGTCGGTCTTCCTCGTTTTCTTTTTCCAGTTGGTCTTCTTACTTTACCAGAAAAAAATAGTAAAGGACTCCTGTGTAGATGCCCAGACCCACCAAGGATAGCACCCCTACGAGGAGGATGATCTGCCCTATTCTTTCAGACGAACCTAAGAAAAGGTGAAGAATAATTGTTTTACCACATTGCATAATGTGTGTGTGTGTGTGTGTGTGTGTGTGTGTGTGTGTGTGTGTGTGTGTGT